CTCTTACTAGCTCGTGGTCTGGACATCCCATCAATTCGTACGGTGGTGAACTACGACGTTGCACGAGACATCGACACACACACACACAGGATCGGTAGAACGGGTCGTGCTGGAGAGAAAGGTGTGGCCTACACTCTCCTCACCAATAAAGACACATCATTTGCAGGGGACCTGGTGCGGAATCTGGAGGGAGCTAATCAGGCTGTTTCCAAAGAACTGATGGACCTGGCCATGCAGGTTAGATAAATCACTGATTCACAAATAATATTTATCTGGACTAAATGCATCACTTTATTAATTGATTTTTTTGTTTTGTAAACTTTGCTCAATTTGCATTGTTTTGGTTTTTTTTCCCAGAATCCCTGGTTCAGGAAGTCACGATTCAAGGGTGGCAAAGGAAAGAAACTGAATATTGGTGGAGGTGGTCTTGGTTACAGAGAGAGACCCGGCCTTGGGGCTGAAAGTTCTGTAAGTTACTGATTAGTAGACTGTGAAACTCCTAATGATTGTAATCATTAATTCACACTGTAAATTAATTAGCAAAATGCCCATAATAACAGATAATGACTTATAACTGTTTTCTTTACAGGATCGTAGCAGCACTAGTAGCTTGTTGTCTTCCACTAGTAGCTATGAAGGCTACAGCAAACCAACTACTGGGGCAATGGGGGATCGCATGTCTGCAATGAAACAAGCCTTCCAGGTACTCACTAATTCAATTTTTCTGCCATTCTCCTTTATGGTCTATAATTATTCCTACCTAGAGAGATTTCAAATGCACGTTTACGACGTAGTATTAGGGCCACATTAAGAAAACAAATATTATTGATCATTTTGAGAGTAAAATAAAAGTTGAAAATCGATTTAGAGAAAAAATTCAAAATGTGGAGATTACAGTTGTTGTTTCGAGACAAATTCCCACGGCTGCTGTATCCTCAGAGTTACTGAAATTGTACTTCAGACTCAGCTTAAGTGACAAGGAAAGAAATTATTTCTCTTTTAGCACATAAACACAGTGTGGTGATAAGTATAACGACAGTGAAAAGAAGATTCAGAAGCTGCATTTGGTCAAACAGAAAAGGCACACAAACTTGGAAGAGTGCATTTGTACAAAATGAAAGGGCTGGTAATGGACAGAGGCAAGATTATCGATGGTTCCACCCTCGTTCAATAAAGAGGATGTATGTTATATCACCACAAGTCATCTACACAAGGCATTTTGTAGAGGGTATAGCAGCCGTGACAGTTTGCCTTAAAACGACAGCAGTAATCTGCACGTTTCAACTTTTAACTCAAATTAGTATTTCAACTTTAATCTCAAAAATTTGACTTTTTTCTCAAAATGATCAATAATATTGGTTTTTCCTCAGTGTGGCCCTAATACTCCTTTGTTAGACTTACCTCCATGTATTATGTATAAGAGCTTAATGCAGTATTTTTTGTTTAGCCGCTTAAATCAAAGCTGAAAAGCAGTTCAGTTGCATCTTGATGAGTTCATCTTAAACTTACTGTGTACGCTTACTTTGGACATTCTTTGTTAGAAAGGAATAAATGCCTTAGGTTTAAGATAGTTAGTCATTCATAATGTCTCTTTTTCCTCTAGGCTCAATATAAGAGCCACTTTGTAGCTGCATCCAGCGGCCCCCCAAAGCTCAGTGCCAAGTCTAGTGGCTCCTCAGGATGGACCAGTGCCGGCAGCCTGAGCTCTGTGCCAACAGAGTCTGCCAACGGCTCAGAACGGTCTCACAGTGCTACCTTGTCCATGGTGGGTTTCACCAGTGCTGGCTCCCTGAGCTCAGTGGCCCCCACCAGTCAAACCAGTTCACACCACAGCTACACTCCACCTGCACCTCCGCCACAGAGAGAGAGCTCACGTGAAAGACACGGGGACGACCGGGGGCGTCACGGTGACAGTCAACACCGCCATAGCGACAGAAACGATCGATACAGTAGCGAGGATCGCTACGGAGACCGGGATCGTCACGGGGATAGAGATAGAGATCGTGACCGCCACGGCGACCGTGATCGCCACAGCAGCAGCCGCCACAGTGACAGTCGTAACGGAGATGGAAGCAAGAGGGACAGAGATGATCGGAGGAGTGATAGGGATGGGGGAGACAGGGGGAGTGGAGATGGGAGGGACAGAGGAAGCGATAGCTTCGCTGTCCCTGAACCACCTAAACGTAGAAAGAGCAGATGGGACAACTAAAGAGAACATAAACACATTAATCGATCTTTATGTGCACCCAACTGCTCCATAACAAGCTTGTCTGTATAGGCAGATAGCAGAGCATATCAGAGGCTGACACAAGCACAGAATTGGGGATATTTTATAGATTTCGATTAGATAGGAAGTGTACCGAACCTCCTATCAGGCTGGTTAGGTCAGCATAAGCGGCTCCGAGACAGCTACTGTACATATACCATCTAAGACTGTTGTTACTGTAAGTCAAGTCAAGCAATACAGCTGTAATAAATCCTCCTGTCCATTAAAAACAATCAAATTAGGATGTGTTATTGTTGTTTGTCTCACTGGCCTCATGCTTTTGGCTTGCAAACCTGATGCTTTATTTTCTCCAGTGGTTTTTTGCCAAGTGTGTTTGTATTTTTGCATTTTGTTAATCTACAAAGCAAACTGTTTGATTTCTGAAGGCGCACTGTGATGATTCACAGTCACTCGAGTACATGTCAAAACAAATATGTATAGTTCTTTTTGTGTCTTGTATTCAAGTTTTAGTGAAGTGCCTCTCTTTGGCATTTAGTCTGTATTCCAAAATGTTTTCAAGAAAATGCATTTGTTTGAGAGGAATTTCAAGTGTATATTGACATGGAAAATGAGAGGTTTTTGATTAAAAGGACTCCTTTGGCACATGCTTTTATATATTCATTTTTGACTTTTGTTACATAGTGATAGGGTCAGAAAGTTGGGGTTGAGATGGGATGACATGATGCTAAGGGACTGGAGTGAAATGAAACCCAGCCTGCCACATTGAGAACTAAGCTCTTGTTGTATGGGCTGTTGCTTTAGCATCATGTGACATAAAAGGAGTTTTTACTGTTGATGTTAAAATTCAAAAAGGTGACATGAAAGATGGGAGTTGTATATTTCTCTAAAGTGGTTTAAATTCATTTAATTTAAACTTAAACAGTTCCTGGCAGCAAACAGCCACAAAAAAAGTGGTTTTGTCATTTCTCACTGTGACCACTGGGGGGCATAAATGGTTGTGATACGCATCATTACACATAATCGTGCCGGTATCAAACATCATATTTTTGCAGGCAGCTCAGATATTTGCGTATAATCCCTGTGCAAATTTTATTCACATAAACTACAAAGCAAAAAGTAAATAACTAGCATGTCACAATTTTACTCCCCCTTTTCAAAAAAGTTTAACCAATTTGGCATTCACTTCACATAACGATTGGTTTAACTGCTTCAGTGTGTTGTACACTGCTCAACACTATGACCTGTATTTTCAAATTAGTTTTACCATGGCTACCTATTTAACTAACATTTACTGGCTTCAAGTCTGCAGCTTTTGATCCAAATGAAGTGTAATTTCCAGTATGTAAGAGCTTCAAAGAAAAGCAACTGGACATCTTTAACTTCTTTGAAGATGTTTCACCTTTCATCCAAGAGGCGTCTAAAAGGTAAAGAGTTCCAGGTATTTAAACCCTAGTGGGAGTTGTTTTTCTTAAGAGGGGTC